TCACCAGAATAAAAGCAGTTGTATCTACTTTTTTAACTAGGTAGTTTTAAGACCATGTCAAGTGAGTGTGTGTGAAGGAGTGAAGGAATAGGGATGCACAGCTGAGGCATGCAGCAGGACCGCAGCTGCATAGATTGGAATAACCTTTGGGTGTTTTGGAACTGAGCTTTCTTGAATTACTTCTAAGAGGAAAGGGTGTAATGCATGCTGGTTGTTTGTCCTATTTTTATAAGTACTCATAAGTTACTGGAGCTTTTCAAGTTAGAAAACCTGACTTATTTACATCTGCAGTTTTGTGTTGTCCTTCCATTTTAAAGCTAGGTAATATTGTTCATCCCGTTGCCATCTTCTGGAACCCACTTGCTCTGTCCCCTCCCAGGTCTCCCTCCATAAGCTTTCCAAGCTTTCAGCTTGTGGCTGAGAGTTCACTCTGAAGCAGTATCAAGTTTTCAATTTTACTTTTCTCACCTGAACTCTTGATTGTTCACAATAAAACATTTGCTTAGTTTCATGAAAGCTGAAAAAGAGTTTGAAATTTTTAAACAGTTGAGGAGCTAGCTGTCCTGGAAACAGAAATTGTCTGCTTAAACATAGATCAGATACAAATTTATTAATTTTTCTGTTTAACACTGGCCCCTTGCTAACCTCAGCCCTGATTTGGAGGGACCAAGGATATGAGGCATTTCAAGCTCCTGGTTACAGAAAGTTCACTTCTCCTAGGTGTGTCTGTCAGAGACTTCTAGCAGTGAAATAATGGTGCATATGATGAGCTTTCAGTCACCTGTGGTTAAGAAAGCTTTTTATTTTGAAGAAAACATGATCTGTATCAACAACTTGTGATGAAATATTTGATTATTTGGTCTCTAAATTTGCATTGATAATTCCTTGATGGGATTTTTTTTCTTCTCCCCCCCCCCCCCCTTTTCTTCAAAACATCTTTATTGGTGCACCATTAGTGTAGTCTAGCATGACAATCCTATGTTCCTGTACAGTGCTCTCCTGCCTTTCCTTCTCTAGTTACGTATAAATAAGAGGGTACTCAAGCACTTCATTTATTAAAGTGGCCCAAATCTTTGAAAGTATTCTTTTTTTTTTTTAGTAAATGTGGGTTTGGGTGTTTGTTTTCTATGTTCCTCTTAACCTATATTTAATATAAATATGTGTAGTTTCATTAAGCTATTAGACATCTACACTACCATGAGCCTTTCAAAATTCTGATATTAGTTCTTAGACAGCATGAACAAACCCTTTACATTAAATAATAATAAACCTTAATATTTAGACTTAATCATGGGTGTTTAAGAATTCTATAAACATGGTTTACTGTGGGTGGGTACGATGATTTGGTTTTTAAATGACTTTTTGGTGTATGAATATGCTATGTATATTACAGAAAGGAATATTCATTTTTCTCTCTCTCTTCAACAATCTAAAATATGAATGGTTAAAAAAAATTGCTTGCAGTACGTGGTGGTCTTTAAACTGGCTTCACTTGCAGCACAGACAGTGGAAGAACAAGACTTAAAAATAAGGCAAATAGGTTTAAAATTTTAGCAAAATGACTTCAGAATATTACTACTGGTCTTGCCAAGGTGCGCTGTCCCGTGGTTGGGCTGACACAACTATTTGCAGGCTTGTACTGTGAATCAGGTCAACTCCATGATTTCGTCTGTGGTATAGACTCACAAACAGTTCTTTGGGTGTAATTATGACAAAAATGGGCTTTGGTATAGAGATGCGAAGAAGTGGGGGCAAAGCAGTTAGTACCATACTGAACAATTTGTATAGTGAAATTGCAGTCTAAGTAAGTCTGAAGATGTGATTGTTGTGTTTTGGTTCTGCTTTTGAAAATCAGAAGAACTTAGAATATGACACTAATGAGTTTTGATGATAACTATTTGCTTATCACTGAAGTTCCTGTGGCTGTATGACCATATCATCTTGTGATATTTCAGCTGAAATACAGAAAATTATAGCTTGGTATATTGAAGAAAATAGAAATCACTTTCTTAAATCTCCAGATGCTGGGCTTTAACTACAGTATTTACTCAAAGGCAGAAGAACTGGTATTGAAGAAAGGGAAGAAGTTTTGAGATGATAAAGTGGACAAGTGTAAATATATATGATCCTATGGAAAGTAAACATCCACTTTCAAGTCAGGCATCTTGTGTTAGACTTCTATACAAGCATGTTACAACTCTCATTTACTTCAATAAGATGTCTGAAGTTTAAGGTTGTTCCTAAATTAACATTAGTGATGCTCCTAATTTTTTACTGAAGCTTTTAAGTCTTGTGCTGAGCAAGGTGAAGAATGTGCAGATTTGAACAATCTTCAGTAGATCACATAAGGACAACTTTAAAACTTTTTTTTTCTCCTGTAGAAGGAGAGAAATATGAAATTGTGGTTAGAGCAGTCGACTGACTTTTGAGATCTAGATTTAGGTACGAGTCATTACCTGTGAGGCCTTGGGTAGGTTGATCTGCTTCTGCTTGTCCTCAGGAGAAGCGTTCACCCATTTTGTATCTAAATTTACATTCTTGGAGACTGTGGATGTGTATTTGTTAGCATCTTGGAACCACAAACACTATTTTGATATGGAATTTCATGGTACTTTGTGTTTTGAAGGGATGTATGAGAAATACTTTTGCCAGAACTGTTTAAAGGCCATACCAGCATGCTCAGGCTTTTCTGTGTAACTTGTTGGGTTAACTTCTTGCATTATTTGGTTTGGGCCTTTTGGTGGTTTTGTTGGGGGGTGGGTGGAGGGTGAGGGGGTGGGGATTAAGATTTCCTTGGACTGAGGCCTTTGACTTTGGCAGCATTGTATCTTAGGATCGTCTGGGCATAAGGGCTGTCTACCCCTTCTTTCAAAATACAGCCAAAAAGCTCTCAGTCTTACTCATAGAATGAGTCACATGGCATTTGGGCCTGTTCCTTTACATTTGAAAGTGTTAAAATACCTTGTGTGCACCTTCCACTTGATTCACATTATTTTTTAAAATAATTATGTTATAAAATGGAATGGTAATAGGATATAAAATTAAGGGCTGAGCCATATAGCATCATCTTTCCTAGCTGTTTTTCTGTGTTGTTTCTTGCATTCCTGCTTCTCTTTGAGACTTGCTGTTCCTTACAGAAATATATGGGGTCAAGATACATTTCTTTAGCCTTTGGATGAAGTGACAGCCTGTGTGAAAGTATACCCTGAATCACGAGATGAATTACAGTGGAAGAGTTGGAACCGCTCTAGGTTGAGAGTAGGACTCCTATACCTAGGGATTATACTTTTTTGTTAAGATTTGAAATAGTCAGTTCTTGCAATAGGTGTTAAATCAAGCTACCATTCAACTGATTAGAACTGCTTCTTTGATCTTACTTTCCTTAAAAATAAATAAGTTATATACTTAGAAGGGGAAATGCATCTTTGGAGATCTTCCTATATGTGTGGAAGATTATTTGCTTTAGTAACGTTATTTTTTTCTAAAATATAAAATACTTAAAAGCTGAAGGCATGTATTCAATTTACTGTGATTTAAGATAATTACTACTGAATTGTAGTAATTTGGAATTATTTCAGTGCTTTTTTGCCCATGCAGATGGAGCCATCTGAAATTAGTATGTGTGTGAGAGGTTAATTTGGTATGTATGTATGTGATGGTAAAACTGCTCATCATTACTACCATTCTTGGAACCTTTTCCAAACATATGGAATGGTTTCTTTATGAGGAACAGTTAAGTTAGGACCTGTCAATCTGGAAAAGAGATGACTTGGCTGGGAGGTGTGCGATAGAGGCTTACAAAATCATAACAGATGTGGAGAGAATGGACAGAAATTGATAACTTATCTTTTCCAATACATGAACTAGGGGATCTCAAACAAAGCTAACATGAACCAGATTTAAGCAAAATTAAGTCCAGTCCCTGACCTCAGTACAACGGATGGTAGACCTGTGGAATTAATTGCCAAAGGGTGTTGTGGATGCTAAAAGCTTATGGATTTTAAGGGAGCCTGGGTAAGTTCATGAAGGATAAATGGTTTGAGATTTACTAAATATAGCAAATCACATCTGGCTTAGCAAGTTCTTCTAAAGGAAAATGGGAGCACATTTGGCATATACATTATATGTTCTTATTCTTTGATGGCATCCATTTATAGCTATTGCTGAAGATCAGGATACTAATAGAAATGGATCTCATACTGACCTGATATAGCTGTTCTCATGCACTTTCCTTATATCCTGTTGCTAAAGCTGATAATGATTTTCTAATTCTTTTTTAATCCTGATGTATGAAAATCAAAGTGTTAGCACACCAGACTCAGAAGGGGGGAATGATCAAAATGTGCTTCCTCCCTTACAAGACACTTAGCCCTCCCTCAACTCCTAATTATAAATACTTTTTTCCTCTGTCACTAGTGAAAAATGTAAATGTGAGGCCACAGAAACAACAGGAAAGTCTTGCATACAGTTATGGGAATGACCACTGAAGGTGAGGCTAGTACAGAGCAATTTTACTTGCATAATTAAATGGTGTCATTTCAAGGAAGGAGTGGGAGACTTCAGTCCATGGAACCTGTCCCTGATACCCACCCTGCTCCTTGTTTATCTATCTTGCATATTTATACATTAACACAGATTATTTTTTGACCAGATTCCTGGTCTGTTGGATTTGGTTTACCAGGAGTGGAACACAAGTGACTCGTCTCTGAGAAAAATGGAAGTAGTAGAGCTTTGATAGCTTATGATTTTGATCAAATTGGTTCTTGCAGCCTGGCTTACCCTATGAGGGTCTGTCACCTTTTCTTCTGTTTATTTGTATCTTAATTTTTCTTCCACCTCCCCTGAAGGAAGCAAATGTTCCATGTAATGCAGTCTGCTTATTTTATCACTGTGGAAGTCAGATTTTTAAAGGTGAAATAGTAAATCATGTTTGTTTCTATCATTCTGACTATAGCTGAATGAATTACGAAGAATATTTTCTCTTTGTGTCCTCTAGGTACGTTTCTCATACATGCGGATGAAGTATCTCTTCATTTCTTGGTTAGTAGTATTTATTGGCAGCTGGGTTATGTATGTTCAGTACTCCACCTACACAGAACTATGCAGAGGACATGACTGTAGGAAAATAATAGTAAGTATATTTACCATAGATTTCTGAAGTGTTTGTCCTGACTAATTCCACAGCCAGTTCAGTCAGTGCCACATGTAAATTAATCAAATTCTGATATTCCATCATACTGAAGTAAGATTACATCTTCGGTTACAGATAAAGCCAGTTATGTTTCTTAACATTGTTTTGGTATAGGGTTATTAAAATTGTTTTCTTAAATTTTTCTTTCAAGAGTTGGGTGTTGGGAGAGATACAGTTGTTGCCTCCTTTCTTGGGCAATTTGTTAAATATTTTTTCTCCCTGTTTGTTTCAGTGTGATAAATACAAGACTGGAGTTATTGATGGGTCAGCATGTAGCAGTCTTTGTGCTAAAGAAACATTGTATTTTGGAAAATGTTTGTCAACAAAGCCCAATAACCAGGTAAGGCTTTACTCATCCAACCTAGTTTTATTATTTCCCACTGAAATGTCATTGTCTGGAACATCAAGTAGACCTTAGTGTCAGCAAGCTGTATCTGTTTAATATGGATTATTTCAAACTTTTATTTGCTGTGACATGCAGAGCATGTTTTTATATATGTATATAATATACCTAGATATGTAGAATATATAGGTATAATACATATTATTAATAATATACAATACGTACCAATATATAATATACCTGTATATATTAATATATATCATTCCTATATGTACAGGGGTATATTATTATTTTATAGTACATATATTTTAGAAACATATATATATATGATAAATACTGGATCCTTCCATGTTTTGGCAGAATAACTATACTTTTGTACAGCGTACTACTACTCTGCTATCCTGCTTCCCAAATAGAAGCAGCAGCCTTTTCACAACCTATGCAAAGGTGGTAGTAATGCCAATATACTATTTATCAAGCTGTCTTTGTATTTTGACAGTAGTGTCTCCTAAGTACCTGCAGTAGTGTATTGTATTTGAAGTTGCCATTGTTCGAATGTGCTCTGTGCATCGTCTGTACGCAGGACTCTGTTTTCTACTCTGTGTTTCCACCTGACTCTTGAAGTAGTGGTTGGAGTACAGGTGGTCTTTAGATGATGGACTTCTACATTGTTTTTTACCTTTTTCCCTCTTTTCCTGCATAGATGTATTTAGGAATCTGGGGAAATCTGCAAGGTGTTATAAAATGCCAGATGGAAGAAGCTGCTCAACTTGATTTTGGTACTGACCCAGAACCAAGGAAGGAAATAGTCCTCTTTGATAAACCAACAAGAGGAACCACTGTTGAAAAATTCAAAGAAATGGTATATGGGCTTTTTAAAGTAAGTATATGCTTGCTTATTCTATTTTGACAGAAAGGCTTATTTTCCTGCAGCTGGAGAAAATGCCCTATTGTATGAGCCTTGTTCGAGTGCATGTTAGAAAAATAATCAGCACAAAACCAGTTTTTCCCAGATACGCTTATCTCGAAGTTTGAAGTAACTAATTATTAGGTTTTTTCCTTATTTTTTAACAGATGGAAGCTGGTATGCATCTTGCATGTCTACAGCTTTCACTTCTATTTGTATAGAAAATATGGTAAAAGTATGTAGTTTTTTTGTTGCTTTTGGGGTTATTGTAACCAAGTACAAAGACTGAAGCACAATTTGAAAACTGTTCATGCTTGGGAAGCGTTACTATGTTAACTGAGCAGCAGGAATGTCTCTAACTAGAATGACCAGCCATACTTCTCCCAGTTCTTTCTGTGTTACGTTAATGGAATACTTATTTCTATTGCCTTAATGCTACCCCAGAATTTTCATAATATAATCACTTTGATACTGTGTCAATACTGATTTTGGGTTTTCTTTCTTAAAATTCTTTTGCTATTGTCATAGCTCCTAAGTCCCCAGTCATGGAAATAATGCTGTTCTAGCTGAGTGAGCATGTGTGTGTGTACACAGGCACACACATGTAACATAATTATGTAAAGCTGGTAACAGTTGTCATGCATTACAGTAGCTTTGTCTCTAAGAATGGGTGAGCAGCAGGTGTTTTCGAGTATTATTTTAGGAGAATTTGGGGAAAGTTTATCTGACCTTCTGTGTGCCTTGGTGGTCGTTGAAAATGTAACAATTCTGATACCAGCAATGGCTTCTTTCTCTGTGTTGATACAATGGAGGTGGTTATATCAAATAACGAAATCAAGTATTTCAGTACACTTGTTGTATGGGATTTGTACTCAGTGTGTCTTGGTACTTTTTATAGTTGGCCAAAATTTAGTTGTTGAGATTGTAATTTCTCTACACCTGTAAGGTTTAATCAGCTGAAAACTAAACCTGATATAAACATTTGAATTCTACATACTTTTTTTAAGAGAATTTTTAACAAGCTACTTGACACGATTTTTCTAAAGACTGATCTGACCAAGATCAATGTTTGAATTTTAATATTTGCATTTTGAAATGCAGAGAACAGTATTACTTTCAGAAGATCATATACTTGGTGCCTTTGTAAACAGAACAAAAAGGAAGCTTGTTGGGCATCTGATAGCAAGTGCTGTAACATCTATAACCAATGAAAACTAGAACATACCATACCCTACCATACTATCCACAGAAGGAGAATAACAGGAGGTAGAATGACAGGTGGATTGGTGGTAGTTAATGAACTAATACTTAATCGGTTTTGTTTGTTGATTTTAGGCAAAATTGGGTGAACAAGGAAATCTTTCAGAACTGGTTAATCTCATCCTATCTTTTGCTGATGGAAACAAAGATGGTAGAGTTTCTTTGCCAGAGGCGAAATCTGCATGGGCACTTCTGCAGCTAGATGAGTTTCTGTTAATGGTGATCTTGCAGGATAAAGAACATACTCCCAAGCTAATGGGTTTTTGTGGGGATCTCTATGTGACTGAAAGAGTTGAATATACCTCTCTCTATGGAATCAGCCTTCCATGGATTATAGAACTTTTCATTCCCGCTGGCTTCAGAAGAAGCATGGACCAGTGGTTTACTCCATCGTGGCCAAGAAAGGCAAAAATAGCTATAGGGCTTTTAGAATTTGTGGAAGATATTTTCCATGGACCTTATGGAAACTTTCTTATGTGTGATACAAGTGCCAAAAACTTGGGATATAATGATAAATATGATTTGAAAATGATGGACATGAGAAAAGTTGTGCCAGAAATGAATTTGAAAGAAATAATTAAAGATCGTCAGTGTGAATCGGATTTGGACTGTATTTATGGTACAGACTGTAGAACTCTATGTGACCAAAGCAAAATGAGATGTACCACAGAAGTAATTCAGCCAAACTTGGCAAAAGCCTGTCAGCTACTTAAAGACTATCTGCTTCGTGGTGCTCCTTCTGATATCCATGAAGAACTAGAAAAACAACTGTACTTGTGTATTGCCCTTAAAGTCACAGCAAGTCAGATGGAAATGGAGCATTCTTTAATACTCAATAACTTAAAAACTTTACTGTGGAAAAAAATTTCCCATACAAATGATTCTTAGCTTCTCCACCAGCAGAAGATAATATTGATGCCTGCCACGGGACGTGGCCTACCACATTTGATAAAAATGATCTGCAGCATTTTTTAAAGATGTTTCTTTACTCAGATTTCATTAATGGCTCTTTAACTTTTGCCCTTCAGTCAGTACCTTATGACAGGGCTTCTCAAAGAATGAACATGCCACTGAATGATCAGGCGGAGGCCAGAAGCACTTCTGGTATTCCAGTGCTGTTACAGAAACAAAAACCCTGCATGCTTGACTGTTCTGTGTACTTTGTCAGATCTTGAACAGGGTGAAAGTATTCACTGTGCCGCCACATCAACTGATGGAACACCTTGCAACTCTGTGAAAATCATTGCTCACTTGTGAAATACCTGCAAAAGATTTTTATCCTAAGTAGTTTTATGAAGAACCACCACTACTGCAAATAATGTGTCTGAGTCCAAGCTGCTGTTGTGAACTGTGAGATTGAAGTTTACTAATACCTTGGCATGGCAGAATTTGCACATTAATAATTTTTAAACTGTGGAAAATTAGAATTTTATTCTAGAACTGACAGGTTGTAATATGAGACCTAAATCAGATTCTGTTTACACCTTGTTACCTCATGCTTACATCTTGAATGTTTAAGTAGTTCAACACTTTTTAATTAAGTCCTTATACAGTGAACCATGTTGGGAGCCAAGAATTTTAGATGTTATTTCTTAAAATCATGTATATAGTCTAACAGCAATATCACCATCTGTTTCAAAAACTGTGGATTACTGTACTTCAGTTGAAAACTTTAACCCAAATTAAGCTGTAGCAAATATTGAAAAGTAAAGAGTTTGTGGACTAAGCTAAAGAACTGAATTACTCTTTAAAAATACTGGTAGTAGAAGTGTCCTAACAGTTAAAAAAGAAAGCTTGCATAGTGTAGGAATCTACTGTATGGATGTGTGAAACAAGTAACAGTTGTGGATAAAGTCTTGACTCTTTACTGTCCCTCCAGATTTAGCTACAGCCTTGTACTTAAATGCTCTTGAACTACTGCAGGAAGTATGTAAGCCAGAGCTAGACCTGAACTGTAGGACAGAAGCTGGATTCAGGATCATGGAATATTGCTTAAACGGGAGACTGTGAGATAGTAACAGCTAGGCATGAGGTGGAACATAAATGAGCTGTAGTGTGTTTCAATTTGTTTTTTTCTAGTAGCATCTATGAGTCATTGTTAAGTCTCAAGTCATGAGTAAATAAACACCATCTGATCCTGGCACTCCACATGGCATGACCACTGTACCACCTTTAATCTGCATCCCTGTTGTGAACATAGCTATAAATCTGAGGAACAATTATGTGGAATTGGATGTCCACAAAACACCTTAATACTGTGCTCAACACTTATCTGTTAATGTTTAATTTATAAATGTTTTGGCAATGAAGTAGTTCAATTCATAATGATTTTAATGGCAGTCATCCCTAAATTTCGAAATCCTGGCCCCTTAATTTTCACCATCAGTAAGAACGACAAGCTTTATTTGAATATTTGACATTGTTAATTGCTTTAGGTATCCTGTATTAAATGCATTCCTTGAATGATTAAACCAAAACACAGGTTCAATATGAAGTAATTTCTCCATACCATATGTAATAGCATGCAGCTTGGGTTAAGAGTGTACTGTTCTGTAAACATCAGCTTTTTAGTTTAAGAATTACTATGCTACTGTGAATTATTGTCTCTAACTTGATAATGTCTGCCAACTATGAGCTAGTAAGTAAGTGTAGCTAGCACTGCATTCAAGTATGAAGTGGTCATCTTCCTCGTGGAAAAATCTGACTATAATTGTTACTAGGTTTTGGGCAGAGATGATTATTGAATCCATAATGATGTTGGGTATTTTAAACAACTGGAAAATAAGTTTCACAGTGCAGTTTGTTGTACAGAACCTTCATTTTTATTGCTGTTGCATCAAGTTGGAGTTTTCATTTGGAAAAAAAAAACCCCAGAGTTTTGTTTACAATAAATCACAGGCCTCTTTTTCTCTTTCAATAGCAGTCCTTACCCTCTGTCAGTACCTTAAAGCAAAACATTCTTCTGTGTAGCCTACTTGATTAAGTGGGCAAGCAACTTGAGTAAGTCTAATGGGAAATAAAGAAACTAGAAGTGCCTATGAAACTGAGATGTAGGTGAAAGTAAAGGATAGGGGCAAGTCAAGGCCTCTGTAATTAAGCATCTCTATGCAACTTAAGAATATTCACTTTTGTCTAATCACTAACTGTGAAGTACTCAGCTTAAGACAGTACTTGTTTCAGTAGCAGCTACAGCCTAGAACTGAATGCTTACTTCAGTTACTGGGGGAAGCTTAAATACTTCAATTAGACATGTAGTCCAGTGTTAGGTACAGTTTAAGTTAAGTAGTGTTGCCATTTGTGTTCCTGAAACCCTAGGCTGTCTTTGGGCAGAGGCTTTAAATCCTACTGTGACTACTTCTTTTTTCTTAAGCTCCATACAGCTTTCCCCCCCCACCCCAACATTAAGTATGCTGAAAAAAAGTGAAGGACAGGTAAAGCCCTTCTTAAAAACTTGAAATCTTTCTGTAGTTAGAAGCAGCAAGTTCTTATATCTAGTCACACCAAACATTAAAGTGATTTTCCTATGGAAATAGGATATAGAATAGATAATTCTAATGCAGCAGCCTTGGTTTTCAAGTCTGTCACTTCTCTGTGAAGGAGTTCAAGTCATACAGTATGTTGAAAGGGGAGAAAAAATCCTTAAGGCTGCAGAAGAGCTGGATCATAAAAAATATTCTGCATCTTTAAGATATATTAATAAGCCAGTCTTACACAGTTGCTTACTCAATAAATTTATTGCCACTTTTTCCAAAGCTTCATAGAAAATTGTGGAAGTTGTCTTAACTATCAGCTGCACGCTCCTGGGCCCTGAGAAAGCTAGCCTTCTTCTGAGCAACACGATCTTTCTTCTGGGCAAGGGACATCTTGGGACAGTTCCATCTGCAATGTAAGCACAGTGTATGTTACATCCAACACAGAAATAAGCAAAGAGGTGGTCAAGAAAGCTGCAGTGCACCAGAGCTGTGATTAAGAGTGCTATGCTAGAACATATTCCCACTTCTGTAACATGCTTTATTTCCTCATGATTTAAGGCTGTAATTAGGGCACCACAAAAAGGCATAGTTAGACTGCAGTAGTTAAATTCCTCAAGCTCAGTATTCTTTTGTGACTACAGACAATATTGAGCCCAATGCAACAGCTGTGCCTTCATTTCTTTTCTCCCAGACCCCTGAAAAATCAAAATAGTTTAGTCACAACAAATTAGTCAGCCTCCCCTCACATGAAGAGAAGCAGTGAAAACACTAAGACCTGATGATACACACTGAAGAGTTCCAGCTATGCAGGCCACAAGCATGTTCCACTTTTAAAATTTTAGAGTCCTACTGCCAAAGTTAACTCCTGACTAAGTTATAGAGAAATGCTTGTCTCTTAAATCTTTCTAAAACACAAGTGAGTTTTGAAAACTGGAAAGTGGATTACATTACTTGTTTTAATATAGCTAAACTATCTTCAACAGAAAAATCACATTCATGTTAAAGAGGATGAGAGTTTTACCTCTTTTTCTTGACTTCTCTCTTGGGCTTCTTTTCATGGACTGGATTATCCCGTATAGCAGCATGGGCTTTTTTATACATTTCTTCCATCTTAAAAAAAAATATTAAAAAATTGTTAAATTCTCCATAGTAGTCCAGTTGTAGGATCGTATCAAAAATCCAAGACACCCTTACCAGAACATGCACTCGAAACTGGTATCATAAAAATACAGCTTTTAATTTTGTGTTTACCTTTTTAAAACACTTTCTTCATACAGAAGATCACTGTCACAGTATAGTGAGATTCCTATGATCACTATGATACAATTTAAATTACAAATGGAAAAAGTAATTTTATCGTTATTTTACAGTTAGGGAACCAAGGCCACAGAGCAACTACAGACTTACAAGTCTCATAAATACAGGCTAGCATCTTGCAGTTGAAATACTAATTTCCTCTGAAGCCTACGTTCAGTGCCATAGCTTCCCTACATTTAAATTAAAAGGCAGTCTAGAAAGTTATTGTACTTCTACCTAGAATCCTCATGTTTACTTATTGAACCAAAATTATTCCACACACAGTCTGTCATCAGACATGGAATCTTAATGCTTTTCAGACCCTAGATATTACAAAGCTGCTTAGTAAGAGGGAGAAAAAGTCTAAGTTGTGAAAGCAGCTACACATTAACAAGTCTTGCAAGAACCGTAACAGTCCCTGCATCATCCCCAAGGATGCAATTATGCTGCTCTGTCCCAAAGACAACTATGGCTCTGTAATGTCACCAATTTTAAGAATACCATTGCTGGTGGTTAATTAAGAGCACTAGATCCCAGCTGTGCAAAATTTTCTAAATGTATAAAGAATAACTGTCTAGCTGTTGACATAAGTCCTGGACTTGCTTCATTGCACTACAAGCTATAAATATTGTTTGGTAAAATAGATGAAGTTGGCATTTACAAGACAACATTACTTATTTTTTAGTAAAGACAAAGTTACAAAAAATTAGCAATTAGTTAAGTTTACAAAAAAACCCCAAACCCCATAGCAATAAAGGGATAAAGGATTAAGACAAGTTTTCCATCGCCTAAAAAGGGGATATGAGAACATTTGTTGCAAACTTCACAACCAGTAAGTGGGGAAACCAAGCAAGAATATTACAGGCAGCAAGACAAGCCATCTGAAAGGAGTTCAACACTTGAAAGAAGCACCTCGGTAATCTCGTGTATCTTCCAGTGTTTTGTAAGCAGTACTCTAAAAGTAGCACTACAGTAAGATGTATTACACTCTCTGTAATCTCATGATATGCTAGTTTCTACAATAGAGCTAGCTTGGGCTATTCTGTATTCACCTGGCACCTTGAACTACCTATAGGGTCACACAAATCATGAAACAGTTTAGACATAGAGCACATCCTCACAGTTGCAGCCACTGCAGCTGCAGAAATGACAGACTGTGGTGCAGGATTAGGATTGAGTGGAGAGCATGCATAGAAACTTTAAGTTAATTTCTGTATCGGGGGGGGGGGGGGAAAAAAAAAGGACCCGTTAAAA